GGGTCCCCCTAATCCTGGCTCCCATACTAACAGGAGCCTGTCAACTTGTGCGTTCAGACGTGGGTGATTCATTTCGACCGCCGTGCTTCGTCCATACCAGAGGTACCCTATTCCAGCAAATTCCCAACCCCTTAACCGTGAGAGTGGTAAACAATAAAATCAAACCCGACCCCCCACGCCCTGCACCCCACATCCACTCATTCACCTTCTACCACCAGGCCAATGCTGATGCGAGTGCCCGTTTACGTGGTCACCGGAGAGGAGCTTATCCCATCGGAGAGTTCTGAGCGTAAAACAGGAAGATGAGCCTAGTCTGAAGCTGAAGCTGGGGATCCGCTCGAAGTTGAACTAGGGGACACAGGTCCCAAGTTGCTCGCATTGCTGTGGTGATACTCTTCTGCATGGGGTGTGCGGCACAGTAGCAGATGCCAACGGGAAGATAGCCTTAGCCAACCCCTGGAGTCAGTGTGTGCTTTCTCGCCGGATCGTCTGGCCCGCAGGAACGTGTGAAAGTGGGGGGGGGGGGGGGGGGGGGTGGACGGCCGCTTACATAACTGGTCTTGGTATTGGGGAGACCTCGGCGTCCTGCAGGGGTACGGAAGTGGCAGCTCGAGGGAAAGTTCGTACAGTACAAGTAGCAGGCACCTTTCCTAAAGAAAGCTGTTGTTGAGGGATTTCGGAGTCTCCGGAAACATGCCCGGTGCCTGGCATGTCAAACCTCCATTGAATCGGCGTGGAATTAAATTGAATCAATGGCCACTTGGGCGTTTGGCAACACCGCTTAACCTGAAACTCCATGCCTTAAGACAGAAACGTTAAACCCCGAGAAGACCTCGAACCGGACAGAAATAATTCCGAAACCCCAACCCTCAACAAAAAGTTGGAGGACATGGGCGAGCGAGGCGCGATGCTGAAAGCTACGAGGATCTACCTGGAGCAGACGAAGAACAGGCCAGTGTTGAGTTGAGTGTCGGGTAAACGGTCAAGGGGGTCTGCGGGGCCCAAGACCTTTTTGTGAGTCATGGCATATAATGTCGAGTTGTTTTACGTAGCATACCTTGCTTTGTAGGTTGTGAAAAGCTCTTGCATTTGTGTATTTGATGTTTCTCGATCCTGTCGCAAGAAGCGGGGTCCCGTTTGCTCTTGCTGCAGTCTTGGTGTTAAACTTTGCGCAGGCAGAGAAGAGTGTTATGAGCATATGAATCCGGGTGGGGAAGTTGTGCATGAGCATGCCTTCTTCTTGTAGAGTGCTAGAAAAGTGTGTGATAGGAGTTTTGGGATTCTTGTCCGGACGAGGGGACGCCTTAGTAGTTTCGACGTACTTCAGCCTCTGCGACTGCGCGGGCGCAAGGTACAGTATTGGGAATCACAAGATGCAACACTCATCCCAAAGATCGTCGTAGAACTAAGTAGGGTTTTTTCAGGAGTATCCTTCCCGAAGCTCTGAAGCTGGAGTCTTCACAGCCTTCGCTATTTTTTGCGAGCCGAAACGGGCGCTGCCTTTTGAGTTTCATCAGTGCATTTTTGAGGAGACAGAGCTGCGAGTCGGATTGCGGCCAAGCCTGGCCACGACATGGAATAAACCCTAAACCCTAAACCCTAAACACTCCCCCTAATATAGACTTTGGATCGCAAGTCGAAAGGGACGCGGATGGGCATTTTCCCCTGCTTTTCCCCGGCCCGAGTCGAGAGTCGAAGAGCGTTCGAAGCCACCTTTCGACCAAAGAAGCCAGCTCAGTATCAGTAGCAACTTCACGACAATATCCATGCATGGAAGCCTCAAACCCCCAAAATCTCTAGACTCGAAAGCTTAGGGTTTAGGGTTTAGGGTTTAGGGTTTAGGGCTAAGCCCGAAATCTCGAAGACCTGAAGCCTTCTGCCTCGATCTGTGACCTCCGGTGCCCTCCAGGCGTATGTCCCAAGCGTCAAAGTGCAAAGCCGCCCCGGAATTCATTGTGAAGCCGCCGAGTCCTGAGATGGTGGCCTCGGGGAAGGGAAGTGGAAGTGGCGTATGCAGTATATCTATCTAATATGCGCATATGTATTCATTTACTTTTTTATATGTACACATATATGTATGTGCACCTATTCATACACATATACATATATATATATATATGTATGTATGTATGTATGTATGTATGTATGTATGTATGTATGTATGTATGTATGTATGTATGTATGTATTGATTGATTGATTGATTGATTGATTGATTGATTGTGGTGTGTATATATATATATAGTCACATACATGTTACATTATCGCATCTAGAACCCCTAGAGTCTCTGTAGAGTTGGGTACAACGGAACCTGCTTTATCATGGGCCCGGAACCTCGTCACTCCGAGCGACCCTGCTGCGATGGTGACCAGAGTGACTGGCAGGTCAAAAGGCGATGCCCCAGAGAGCCGTTTTGTGCAGAGCGTTAAACTTGTAGCGATCGGAAACAGCCTAATGTAGGGAGGGGCCTTAATAATTAGAGTAGGGGTTTGGGGGGTTCTTTATTGTCATTACAGTATGAATAGTGGGCCCCCAAACCGAACCCCGTTTTGATTCTTAAGGCCCTAAACCCTAAACCCTAAACCCTAAACCCTAAACCCTAAAATAAGAGCACCCATCGCAAGCGCCGGCGAAGCTTCCGGGCAGGAACCCGATCTCGGTGATCGCTCCAGGCCGGGTCCGGACTAAGCGGCCGTGAGTATCAGCCCTGGGTCTTCGTGCGCCTTTCACCATCGAGCATCCTAGAATTTTTAGGGTTTAGGGTTTTAGGGTTTAGGGTTTTAGGGTTTAGGGTTTAGGGTTTAGGGTTTAGGGAGGGTTTATCATTATGATGCCATCATGAATCATGGTCGTCCGTTATCCATCCCTTCAACATCCGCATCGTTGCATCGTGCTGTCACTCATTTTCTTTCCCTTGTCCCAGCAACTCCGAATTGAAGTTGGGCCAAGTCACCTAGGAACAAGACCCTACTGCGGAAATCAGCGAATTAACCCCTGGTCCTTGAACCAATCTTATTTCTTGTCTCGACCTGCCACGTCTTCAACCTATCCGAGCCTCGAACCTTCGAAGAGACAAGGCTTTTTGAGCCCCTGTGGTTTGTAGGAACTGATAAGGCTGAGAAGGGCCATAACCCATAACTCTTTAGCCGTGAGGCCCCCAAAGCTCTTCTTTGCAGGAGGGGGGCAGACGGAGCTCACAGAGATACAGGAGGCGGAGGATCTCCAAGCAGACTAGGTGCCGGTCTTTGCCTCAAGCTAACTGATCTGCTGCACACTAGTCTTGCTTGGCATGAACGGCCCAGCGTTCTGAACCTCAAGACTCGGGAGCCGCACACCTGTTTAGGGCCTCAGTCGGGAGCTTCTTGCCACCGAGGCCCGCAGCAGGCTCTGAGAAAGCCTGCCCGCTCCAGGCTACGGCCTTTCGATACCTTTCGGTCCTTTGTTTCGGTGGGTTTGGATGGAGGTGAAGGAGGTTGAAGGCGTAGGGCGTACAGGGCACTCGCAACCTTTGTTGCGAGCGAAGCTCGGTGCCCTCCATAAGCTTTCGACACCCCCCATGTGGGGCAGAGAAAAGCCTAGATCTAGATGGACCCAGAGCACCCCTTTGAATTGTAGATTGAGTGATCGGGGTTTCCGAAGGCAAAGGACAGTACTGATCGCAATTTGCAGTACCTTCATTACCAGGACCCTAAAGGCACCCCGGATTGCAAGGAACCTACAACTGACCCATCTGCTTCGGAAGTCTTCTTGGCCCCACTCCCGTACCCAAAGCCCTAAATTCAATCCCTAAACCTTGACCCTTCACCCCGGGACTTGTCGCCTGAAACCCCGAATGCCAGGTTGTCCCGAGTCGACAAAAACATTCCCGCTCAGGGCCTAGCTTCTAGATTCTAGATCAAAAGGCGATAGTCTACCTAGGCCCCATAGTAGTTCCTTCTTGGGACTACCTTATAGGATTCGATATATGAACCCTCAAAAGGAACTACTTTAGGGCCTATGGGTACTGTACGCCCTAAACTGTAAGCCTCCGTAAACCCTAAACCCCAAACCCTACACCGCCTGGGTCCAGTTAATGCAAGCGCGTGGAAGCTATAGGCTTCGTCGCACTGAGACGTGGCTTGGAAGCCATGTCGGAACAAAAAGAGATGAGCTCACCCGCCTTGGCCCGGAGGGGTCTCGATAATTAGACATCACATAGGTGCCCTTCCTGGTCCCTACCTATCTATATACATATATATTTTTTTACATGTATGATAGGATCTACTATAATGGATCTTACTATACTGTAATGTCGTATACTCGACTATATTATGCTATATTCTACCCCCCAAGCCCACGAACACTGGCTGGCCGCCCACAAAGCCACCGAAGAACGTCGGTTTTGGACCTGGGCTTGCAGAGGCATCCGGGCTCACAAAAACGCAGAATTTCAGCCACTATCTCTCCATGCATCACTAATTCAGACTGCTAGCTTTTGCAGCACCGTGATCAAGACTACCTCCGTAAGGTGGCCCGTCCAAGCCATTCAACTACTTGTAGGACCGAACATGCGACCATGCTCCTGTTCTTGCTGAGACTAGTTTCAGTACTGCCAGTACTATCAGACTTTGTTGTGGTAGCTATGGAGTTATAGGCTCGTCTTATAAATATTCTTATCAATAAGGCAGATCTTACGATCAGGCTTCAGGTGTTGCGGAGAAGAGCACTCCAATAAATTGGGCAGCCTCGGGTTCAAGCCATGGCAGATCAGAAGGAGAGACAGATCCAAGAGGGGGGGGGGGGGGGGGGGGCTTTTGAAGGGTTTAGGGTTTGGGATTTAGGCTGTAGGGTTGAGGGTTTAGGCCGGGGGTTTAGGCTGTAGGGTTGAGGGTTTAGGCCGTGGAGGGCAAGGCATCTTGAAGAACTTGCAAGACCTCAGAACCTTATTCTAGATATTTAGGCCCCCCTATATTCCAGTATTCAGGCCTATAAGTATACATGATCCGGCGTCGGAGGAACAGAGATAATGAGATTGCTGTAGCATTGCAAAATGGTAAGGTGTGTCCAGACCATTTTCGGATTGAGGACGGTCGCACTGTACGTGTTTGACCAGATGTCGCAAATCCAGATGGTGACCTGCACAGTGACAGCTCTGTCTCGCACCTCTCAACACCAAGCCCGAAATCCCTAAACCCCGACTCGGAATGGGAATCCCCCGAGCAGAGCACTTTCAACTACACCGGCTCCGGGGCAGAAAGAGTTCATCTTGCGGAATGTGGAGCTCATGTAACTCCGAAAGACCTCTAACAGCCCCTGACAACCTGAGCTCCGAAGTCGACCGGTTTGCATCCCAAAATATCCCAAATCTCCTTGGCCCTCAACCCTGACGCTCGAGCCTTTAACCTCCTAAGCCCAACCATCCCGGACCCTGCTCCGGAGCCGTGCATCCCAAAACCAAAGCCTCAACCTCCCTAAGCCCTAAACCCTAAACCGTTCGCTAACTCCGCATCCTGAGCCCAAGCCTCAACCTCGCCACTGCACCGTGAAGCTCAAGCCTCGACCTCGCGAACACAGCACCCTGAAACCCAAGCCTCGAACCTCCTAATGTCATATGGTACTTTCCGAAAATAAGGGGTACCTTATTTGGGGTCCTTATAATAGGGATCCTATTATTTAGGGTAGGGTCCCCTATTTTCGGAAACCCCCATATCACTCCCTCAGTGTCGCTTTCGAGTGTTGTCGATATCACATTTATATCGCTACTCAACACTGACAGTCCACGGACCCCCATGAAATCATTGCAGACCTGTTGGTACCCAGGGAAATTGCGGTGGACTTCATGACCGGGTGGTGATTCAAAAAGCGACTTACAAGAGACTCTGCCACGTTCAGCTCAAAGAGTTGCTAGGAAGAAAACCTGAGCTCCCGACACCTCCTTGGCCCCAGGCAAAGCTCATGCCTCCAAGACTCCGGAATTGTGGGGCTTTAGGGGTTTAGGGTTTAGGGTTAGGGTTTAGGGGGCTTGCAGTCACCCCAAACCGGCATGCTAGGAAGAGAGCTGCCTCGGCAGAGTTGATTCTCGTGCCTCGACCTTCCCATACTCTATTCAGCACCCAGTCGACCAGCGCCACCACTTTGCAGAAACTCGTGGTTCGCGCCGGTCGAGCATTTCACTGTGCACCCCAGTGCAGCACCTTATCCCTGCGGCCTCCTTTTCCTGAGGGTTCCGACATGTTGGCGGCTACAGCTAAAAGCATTCCAACAGCATCTATAATTATCGGTTTCAGAAACGCTTCCAGAGACCCCTTGAATGTGTAGGTTTATGGTTGCACCCCTGCATGAGAGCATGCTGACTGTCAGGCACGGGCGTTGCAGCAAGCCGTGGCCGAGATCTCCGCGAAGCCCCGTTGACATGAGATTTACTTGCAGCTGTGTGGCCGAAACATTTCATTGGCTCCACATTGAGCCGCAGCGTTGCGGGACCCGGGACAACGGGTCAGTCTGATCTGTCGTCTGTTGTTATGAGGTTTGGGGTCACGACGGCGAGCAAGAAGCACACGACAGCAAAAATACCTATCCTTGTCATAATACCAGCAACAAGCCTCCCAGCATCAGCACTTATGTTTCGGCGTCGACAGTACATGTTCACAAGATGCTGGCTCCCCTGATCTTTGCACCCTGCCAGGCGCGAGGCGGTCCAGCCGGGATCCAAGCTTTCTAGCAAAAAATGGCCCACGAACCCCTCCAATGTCTGCGGCCTGGAACATCAAGGGGGGCTGTGGTTTTCGGCATGCGGTGCAACAGGGCATCACCATCACAGCTGCGGATAGTCAGTCCGCTCAGCGAAGATGGGTTGAAGGACGGATCTCCCAATCCCCAGACACTGTGACTTTGACAACTTTGAGGGCTTTGTCTGTCGCCGTTCTGTCAAGGAAAGAAGTCAACGACATGCAAGCAGAGCTCAATGAAGCAACGGCCAAGGAGACCGATGAGAATTCCTATACATCGCTAAGATATACTATACTCGGGAACTCTATTCTGAATGCAAAGTCCGTGAGACCAACCGCTGCGATGTCAGTGGTTCTGTTTCAAGGTGTTTCAGGTTAAAAGTTGGCGGGTTAACATCAAGGTACCATGCATGCACGCGGGAGTTCTGATGGAGCGGCAGTGTAAGTTAAGGTCTATCGCCACTTCGCGCACTTAGCCCTGCAAGAGTTTCTCTGCAAGTTGTTCGTGATCCTCTGTGATTGTGATGTACAGTGACGAAAAACATTTGTGTCATTGGTGTCTGGAGCATTACCTGAGTTTCCAGAGCTCCACGGGTCCTTTCAAGCCCTATCAAGAATGTGACTTTTCTGGTGCTCGTGAGTCATCGATGGTCCCCATTTCTGTGAACAGCAGGCGCAGGAGCTTCAGCAGCGCCAGACAGCCATCCTGGGCGAAATCGCACAGAAGAGCTTGGGCCCTGTTCGCGGGAAAGTTCTAGCAGCATGGGGCGATGGGGGTCAGGTCGATGTCATTTTTGGAAGGGTGCCGCGGCAAGCATAGGCTAAAAGTTGTCCGAAGAGGTACTAGTAAGATCCCCCTTCTGGTCCGCATGTTTCTACATACTCCATGTTATACCAAGCCCTATACTGACAAATATGAAGGTCCTTTCTCAGAGCCTGACTGCTGGGCAGTAATTGGCCCATGTGGCAGATTGTGGGAAGGAGGCGTTGCGCGGTTTTGTTAGTGTCTCAGGTGGTCCGGTAGTCTAGCTTCGAACCCTAAACCTGATTGAGTCGCTGGATTTCTCTACTTTGGGGGAAGGGCACGGTGATGGTCGCCTCGAAGGGGTGTCTGAACAAGGGAACTGGACCAGCGACTTCATGGCCTAGTCAACCGAAGAATGATCCTCGATCTGCTGATGCACTTGTGAGTGATGGGTCTAAGGTATGGTGGGGGCGGTAAAGAGCCCATGTATGCCTGCTTAGTATGGGCTGGGTGAAGCCGAATGAGAGTTCGTGAAAGTTCGTGACGACCTCCCAAGGCCCTCCAGAACAAAAGCACTGGTTTAGGGTAAACGGGTACACCCTAGACCCCAAACGTTCAGCGTTTGGGCGCTTCAGGCTTCTGGAGTTGAAGCTTTGCTGCCCAGGTGCTCAGTTGAAGACCATTCAAGCAGAGATGTCCTGGTCTCAGTCACAGACTTTGCCCCCAATATATAAGCCTCCGACACCTTGACATACCCAAAGCCTTAAACCCTATAGCCTATACCCCTAAACCCGAATCCCAAAATGACCAGAAGCCACGGTGGTGCGAAGCAGGTACAAGGCTGAGTCGGAGTACATGGCCTGCCTTGAGGCCCCCGATTTTGGGTTTAAACGGGGTTAGGGTTTGGGGAGAGAGCGTGATAGAGAGAGAAAGAGAGCTACATTGTCGTAAGGCAGCTTTTTGGACTCATCGTCATCACTCTCGTCGTACATGATCGTGGTCATGTTCGTGATCGTCCCTTATGTTCGGCTTGCACCGCGCAGCCCTCCACCAAGAACTCTGCAAGCAGGCGCAGCCTTCGCTGGTGCATGTGATGAAGTCCTCCTGGCCTGCATTGCATCCTTGGGTTTTTGCTGCGATGTTTTGGGCCGAACCCGTAAAGCACCGAAGCCTAAATCCTAAAGCCTTAAAGCCCTATATAGCCTGTTAATAGCCTAAAGGCCTCCACTCTAAACCCTACAACCCTTAAGACCTCGTGCTGCGAATAGCTGCAGGAAGAAGGAAGATTAGGAGCAGGATCGCTCGAGTGCTGTTGAATATCGGGAGTCGAAGACCAAGAGTAGCAAGTCAAGCCCGGAAGCCCATCCCTTCAGCATCGGTTTTGGGATGCGGTTTCCCTGGAATCCTTCTTGCTCAGCAAGTTTGAGTATCCCTAAGCCGGCTTCAATATGGGGGTTTCTGAAAATAGGGGACCCTAATATAGCACCCTAAATAATAGGATCCTTAATATAAGGACCCCAAAATAAGGTACCCCTAATTTTCGGAAACTCCCATATGAAAGATAGCCTAAGATAGGTTCAGCTTCCCGTGTAGCCTTGCAAGTCAGGCAAGGCTAGCGGGTCCCGCGCCTCCTCTGATGTTGTGGACGCGATCGATTGCATGTCGAGACAAAAAGGGGCCGAACAGCTTAAATGCCTCCTGCACCCTCAACCCTAAACCCCAAAATGCCCGCGAAAACCTTAAATTCTAAATGTAGATGACAAACCTTAAAGCTTTAAATGTAGACGATTTACAGTGGCGGGGATCCTGTTTCCTCGAACTCTCGGCGAGGTTGCGTATGTAGTGGACATGATCATGTTGTAAACTTGTCATAAGCCCGAAAGACCTTAACTCCCTCAGATTTCCCCTTATAGTTCGCCCTGACAAACAAGGAGCCGTCGCATGTTCGAGCTGCGGAAGATGGGGGTGAGAACGTATTTAGGTAATGGGTTTAGTGGTGGAAATGTGCGTCCAGAGCATTGCGGCAAATTTGCACATCACTGAGTGCTGTTGCCACCCAACGCTCCTCGCTTGTTTTGTGCTCTGGAGAATGCATTGGCACTCGCCGGCACTCGCCGGTCATGATGGAAGGTGCTAAACCTCTAAACCTGCAGCAACACCATGCGATTAGCAAGGTGCGCTTGGTAGTGAAACATGCAGTACGGGTACCAGTCATAAACCAGCACAGAACATGTGTTGCATGACTGTGACGGTGAAGTTGCTGCGTTCACTCATATGCTTCTTGTAGTTTTAGATGGCTTCATGTCGCAGTTGATGCATTGACGCTGGGGCGTGCTAGCCAAGGGCCGTGCGTGACAGGCGCGGATCCGGGACAGAGCATAAGAAAATCAAATATATAGTATTAACATGTTTACGGCGACTTAAAAGTGCGAGTGTAAGTATGCATCAACCATGTCTTATAAATACAGACACATTATAACTTTCCGGATACATATAATGTAGCATAGTGTTATAGTAGAATAGTTCCAGATAAATGCAAGTTTACTCCGTATAACATAGATAGCACAGCGTAGCATCACATACCTCATACGGGATGACAAAACATGGCAGAACACCCGTGACACGCCATGATATAACATGATTCGAACGATAATCATTACAACACAATCCATGAGTTTAATCACTATACTATCTACTATAATGTGGTGCTGTGCAGGAACATGATGAACGACATTCTCTCAGGTTGGGCATTCTTCTGACACTGGCCTGCGCACATTCGTGTTTGGAGCAGGCATGGAGCAGGAAGCCAATGTCGCGAAACCTGTGCACAAGTCTGCTTCCGATCTGATGCAAGACACGCTGAACAGCGGTGGCCTCAAGACAACCAAGTTGAACTGGAAAGCGCAGCATAGAAGACAGCTGCAAGGCACAAGCAAGACTTTGGTGTGGCTGCAGGCATGGTTTAAAGAGATGCCGACTCATGTCACACGCCCTTATGAGTTGAGAGGCTCATTACCAGGGCATGGACCGGCCCAATCCTCAGAGCTCTTTGTGACCTGCCACCAAACCTGACCTTAGTGGTTTTAACTAAACCCTAAACCTTATACCCTAAACCCTAAACCCTATACCCTAAACCCTAAACCCTAAAATTGCAGTCAGACTCCAAGCGAGGCCGGACTCCAGCAAGGGCAAGAAGGACAGACGACTGCCGCACCCCCTCGATCTCTTTGCGAGACTGCATGGCAACTGTTCTAAGGCCACGACGTAGCTAGAAGCTGCGATGCAACGTTATGCAAGGATTCTGGAGATGTGTGCAAGCACCATGTCGATGTGCGTGCCATGATTTGTGTGTCTGGGCGGGTCGTGTTTGACATAATCATAATCAATCCTTCGAGGTCGGTTGTGGTGCGGGGACGGATCTTGCATGCCTTTCCGTAACTTCACAGACCCGTCAACACGTGTTGGCTGGCCCTGCCTTTTCAGCTCGGCTGCCTTTCACAGGCACTGGACAGGTGAGCAATTCATGTCTTGCCAGCCGATGTTATAGTTATAGCGCCGTAGAGGAGGCGGGAGAGTTGAAAGTTCCTACACCTTAGAGCCGAAGCTCTTAACCTCAAAAAGCCTCGCAGTACAGGAGCCCTTGGACCTGTGGAGATTCCAGCAGGGCGACCAGCCAGCTTGCCCCACATCAGGAAGTTTCACCTCCGATCATCGAGACGGGTCTCAAAGCGAGGCCTTCTCTAAGGATTCAGAGACTCGGCAATAGCAGTACTGTACGTACCTGTAGTAACGTTACCGTTGCAGGAATATGCACCACAATGGAGACTTTCCTCATAATCATGCCAGCTTACAGACAAAGCTCCTCTTGCAAGTTATGCAGGGAAGTACTCCTACTCGGCAAATAAATAAGTGCCTCAGCAAGAGCCAAGGAGATTGTCTCCGAAGTTCGCTTCGGGCAGCTCGGGGCCAAAGATGCAGCGAGCTTGGCGGGCGAGGAGCGCTTCGGGTTTCGGTGCCTCGGGTTTTAGGTTGGGCAGCCGGTCGTGGGGTTGAGGGCTCTGCATCTTCGGGTTGGGCTACAATGCTTATTCCATTAGGGACTTCGGGGATTAGGGTTTAGGCTTTTGAGTTTCGACCCTGGTTTCTGCCTCCTTAGGGTGTTGTAAGAGGGATCCGGGCACAGTGCTCTCAAGGACACTGCCGAAGAGATGGAGGTGACCTTTTCGGAGAAGTCGAGGCCATCGAGGCAAGTGGCTGAAACCCTAAACCCTAAACCCTACTTTTAAGCTACTGAACCTTAAAGACCTTAAAGTGCTGTGGCTGCGCTTCACATCACGCAAGGCAGTGCGCCAGTGCCGGGTCCAGCAGTGAGGTGCGGGCCTCGGCAATGTTTTGACTTCAGAACCTCGCTTTGAAGTGCACCCTTGGCATCTCTTGCCCGTCGCCTTGCAGGAATCCTGGGCGAAGCCTAAGGCAGCTTCGATCACCACAGCGGTCTCTTTGCCCAAAAAAGCCCCGTGTGCTGCGCAGGGACCTTGTGAGGACCAGCCGGGACGGCGAGGGACCCAGCTTCGCATGGCCCGCGGCAGAAGCCCGGACCTTTATCCGTGCCTCAGGTATGTCATCATCCACGACAGTACCTTCGTGTCCGAAGCTCCAGCGGTGCCGAGGGAGGAGGAGAGAGCCGCAGTCGCATGACATGAACTGCCCTGTCATACAATCACAATTCCACAATAGTGATGATACTGTCTGGTCTCTGCACCGCTTCACATGCCTTGTCAGGATGTCGTGACCATCGTCCGTGCCGGGACAACTGTGCAAGTCTTAGCCTGTGCGATCAACATCCGGTTGTTAGGTTCTGAAACGTTCAAAGTAGCTCACAATGCCAGACCCATGCTACTGTACTACTATACTTCATATTATGCTGCTATCAAAATGCTAGAATACTTACTACAAGATTTTTGCCCTCACGCCATGGATTGCTCAAACCTTCAACCTCGACGCTTCATCGCAGGTCGAGGTGGTCGAAGTCCTTCGAGAAGAGTCCCAGACGCGGGTCGGTGACCCAGTTGTCAATCTCAATCCGTGATGACATTGGGCTGTCTTCTATTTTGAGGTGCCTTTCGGATCCGAACTAAAATACGGATACGGGTATTTTGGTGTTTTAGGTTGGGGTTTGCAGATCATGGTATTCGATTCAAAGATCTCCTAGAAGAGAACAGCGGTTCAGTTGCCTTTTACTGGGAGGTTCCTTTGTTCTTGGGTCCCCCTGTGTCCTCGAAGTTCGTCAAAGGCCTCCGAAAATTCCTGTCACCCGTTCCCCTTCATTGGCCCCCCAATTAGGCCATAGGGCCCTGTTGATTTCCTGAAGAGGACTTCCCTGAGCTGTAGACGACTGAAGTGTTCTAGGGCTCCTTAGACCTAGGATCCTGCTTCGTGGGGTCCAGGGGTCGGCAAGGAGGTTCATCATTTGGGGGTTTCCGAAAATAGGGGACCCTAAGATGGTACCCTAAGTAGTAGGATCCTTATTATAAGGACCCCCACCCCCCCCTTATTTTCGGAAACTCCCATTTCTTGTAACTTCCACATCACACCTGGAGACCCATATCGGGCTACGATGTTGAAGCCTGAGACCTCTGGAACATGCTGCAGTACATGTAGTATAGGGGCCTTCATCGTTGGAAGAGGCTTTTGGCGTATAACTAGAGCCCTGTTACATTAAGGAGCCCTGTCCTCAGGACAGGTGTTGGTAATTGTTCAAGCTTCTTTAGTTTGGTATGATGGGCCTTTGCCAATGCCTGCTCAAGCATTTTCACCTTTTGCTGTAACCGGGACGCTGCATGGGCCTGTCGAACGTGGTCTTCTCAAGCGCCGGTTCATTGCGAATTTTTCCGGCCTTACCGTCACCTGAATGGGGTGTTTACCTTGCCATCCTAGCCTGCGAGCGGCAACAAGCCCAAATCTCACAAGCATGACCTTGGCGACCCATGCAACGCACCCTGCGGTGCTCTAGATTCAATGCCTTAAGCACAGAGCCCACTCACAGAGCCCCACCCTAAGCTTTTTATGGCTTCAGCGACTGGGAACCGCCAAAGACTTGCAACTCTCCGTAAACCCTGAAGCCCTAATTAGGACTCTAAACTCCCAAAGCCTGCCGCCTTGGGCTCCAAGCTACCCAAGAACTCGGAATCGCCAAGGTGCGCGGGCGCATCACGTTCCCAAAAGGCCACACCGAAATCGGTTGTGCACCGTTGTATAGGCCATGGCTTTAGGGCGGATCTGGGTGTCGGACCCTCGGATTGCTTTCTGAACCGTTGGGCATTACGGTTTAGCGGCCTGGCGAGCTCGATGGGTAAAGGCCAACCAATTCTGGGGGGGTCCAGTGGTTGAGGCGACAGATGCCTAGCAAGGAAAATAAACTGCTTGATCAATGGATTGGCGCTATGGCAGCTAGTTCCGAGCATTGAGAGGTGATACAGTGGATTGTCAACCTAACACTCTGGGTCAGGATGCTCCTTTCACAGCTCAAAGCATGCAACCGCACGCCTGAATCCGTCTGCAAACCTCAAGCTCAGAGATTCTCAGAGGCTGGATTTCCCTTCTGGATGTCGCAAGCGGCTACCGCTGGGCGTGCCGTGTGGAGGCAGAATCTGCCAAAACCAAACCCTGATCCGCAACAGCAGTCTCCAGGGATGTCGAAGTGCAAGGTCTGGGCTCGCTGTGGGTTTCGTAGTGGCGGCAGCAGCAGTGGCGAAACGGAGTAGCCGTACAAACAGCAGCAGCCATTAGCAGTAGCAAGGAGGGGTAGTAGTAGTCGTCGTCGTCGCAGTGGTGACGGTGGTGGTGGCGGCGGTGGTGATGCTTGATGATGATGATGATGATGACGATGATGATGATGATGGTTGCCCTTGATGATGGTTTTTGCCATCCTTGCCCATGCCCGCACCTGCGGCCCCGTCTGCGTCTGCATGGCCAGGACCGGTCCAGAGTTCAGAAGCCTCTCCCGGCATTGGACACATCGCAGGCACACTACTCATAGAAGGGATTCACGGAAGAAGGGCCTCAGGCCTGCCTCCGAATTGCTCAGAGGGTAGCAAAATTGAGGTTCTGTGGAGATTCCTCTGGGGTCGATCCTTGTGCTGTCAGGGTGCTGCGCCTACGACGCCTCGAGCTTCAGTAATGGTGGCTCCACCTAGCAGCGACAGGATTGGTGGCGACCTTGGCTTCAGTTCTTCTGCTCAAGAGCTGTTATCCACGTGAGGTCATCAGGGTATGTTCAACAGAGCAGCCTTGGTGTAGTGACATGGATGCCTTTTTTCAAAATCTGCATGTTAGCACAAACCAAAAGATCTAGAAACAACCGAATGAAGAAGATTGCCATGTTGACAGAAACACCTGTGTAGATGAACAAGTACGTAGGTATATACAGTGTCATAGATGAGCAACGACTCAGTGAGTGTGTATATACACATGCATCATAGACCTGCATGTGTATAGTTTCATACACGTTGTGTCTTAGTTGGTGTGTGTAATATGCGTACAGTACAACCATGTGTAAGAAGGCCGGTCATGGTTTCTTGGCGCTCAGGCACGGTCTTCCGTAAACCTCGTGCGAAGACGATGCACCGCCGCAATCAGCCCAAGGCTGACTAATGGGGTGTACTATAGAGGTCGGAAGAAAGACCGGTAGCATCTTCTGTTTGTTTTTGCAAAAGGACGGCCCATGAATTCTAGCCTGATCGTTCAAGCATTTATGCCCTTGTCAGACGACTCTTCCCTTTAGGGTTTGGCAGCAGAAGCACAAGTAAAACGACCTTCATAACCTGACAATGCACGCTGAGACCGCCCAGAAGAGCAAGAGAAAGCCGTCCAACATCATCATATCCCGAGAATTCGATTCTGCCACTGTGGGAAGGGCTTGGGAGACCGGTAGTAGCTCAAGTTGGATGAGAAACAGTGCTCCGGGTTCGCGGGGTCCTTCCCCAAAGCCGCTTCGTCGATTCCTGCTTCAGCTTTTTTTGTAGCAATTTTCCACGGATCCATGGGCCCGGCTCGGGAGTCCTGTGAGGATCTGATCATGCGGCTTGGGAGCATGTTTACAGGTAGCCGGGAGTCTATAGCCTTCCTGAAAACTTGGAAGATATCGCGGCTCGATGCGTTTTGTAGCCTTTCGCTCTGTTACTTCGGAACTGCTGGCAGGGGCCTCTCTATGCTCCTGCCATGCTTTTGATAATGTCAGCGCCGTGCCATACCTCGAAAATCCCAATGGCCCGTGGCTCTGGGAGCACGCCGGCCTGCAGTCTTGCATCTCTGCAGATAGGGTCGCTCGTTCCTGCATCCTCGGCTTCAGACAACCGTACGTGAAGCGCACATGTCTATGTCTGCATGATGATCTGCATCCATTTGCAGATTGGGTTCGGCTCTATCGTAGGCACCCTTCAGGGTCTTCAGGTCTTGGAGCTATGCTTGGGTTTAGGGTTTCGGGTTGCACTAGCTCTTATAAGTATTACCCCGCATGGAGATAGTTTTAAGCATTGAGGGGATCATCCGACAACAGTGCCCTCAGATGCACAGACTGACTGGCACGTGCGATATCTGCTGTCTGGGAGGACAGGGCTTAGCATTCCGAGTATAAACCCTACATAGCTGACATAGCAGACGCGCAGTACAAGGATTTTAAACAAGGGACACCAATTTGCAGAAATCCTCATCATGTGATGTAGGAAGCCGCGTGCAGCGCAGCTCGGCTCGTAGAACCCCCGCTGTAAACGCCTTGCGGCCCTTTTGGTTTGCCTCCTCGTAACCCTTACATTAGCCCTGATGCTAAACCTGATTGTAAGCCTCTCCTTCGTGCAGGAAGCTTCCGGTTTTGATGCCCTTCAGCAGGAACGTCGACTTGGTTGTCGACAAGGCTAGTGCTGGCGTTGTGCAGATTTTGCAGCTACACTGGCCGCTCACACCAATGCTCATTCCTGCCCCTCCAAGTGCCCACACGAGATCGTGGAGTCAGGACCCTACAGCCGCGGGTCAAGCCCAGTCCACTCTTGAAATGCTGCTTCCGCACATCGAGTCCCCTCAACTGCTGCGATAACATTTGTCAAACCGTCTCCGGATCGAAATCCCCGTTTCAAACTCGATGAGTAGAATCCTCCAAAACCAGCTGATGGCCTGCAGAACGAAGCCTTGAGACCTGTGTGTGCAGAAAAGCTCAGAGATATCAATGTCCACCGCAGTTATATATGTATATATATAATATATATATATATATATATATAATATATATATATATATATATATATATAATATATATAATATATACATATATATATATATATATAATATATATACATATATATATATATGTAAGATCGCTACCCTGTGTCGCACGCTTTGTTTAGCACCCCATCGAGATCGAGATCGGCATGTTAAACACTTCCGGAGCCTGCTGCTGGAAATGCCCTACCCGAGTCGTCCTTGCAAAGCACAAGCAATGTTAGTTTCTGAAATCGCATCACCGCTTGTTGTATTTGCATATTTACACGTGTCCGTGGGCATAAACCCGGATCGTATCACTTCTCCGCCGTCATCTACCCGGGTCAGCTACCGCCCTCACGACCGCACCTACCGCACGCCAGACAGCACCCTGATTTCAAGTGCAACGCACGCGTCGTGCAATGTATAGTTCGAGCCAGCCCGAGCAACGAAGGCAGTCTTTTGTTAGTTATGCTTGCCACTGTTCTTCCCTGCACGTCATGCGGTTGCCGTTTTTGTCGACCGACAAAGGTTTCTTTATTTGTCAGTCGGGCCTGATTCCAGTGCACCCTGCGCGGTCCTGCACCCTTCAGGCTCCATGCCGGAACGTCAATCACCTGGCCTGGACACCTGGGGAAATTCTGACTCTCCTCGAGAAAATGAGATTCAGACTAAATGAGATTCAGGGCCAGGAGATAGCTTCTGTCTCTGGCTTTGCGGATGTCGTTTTACGCTGGTCGGCGTAGTACCTGAAGTGATTTTTTTTTTGCCGCGGGAGAAGCTGCCCGCCTCTTTCCAGCTCCCTTCTTGGCTCACGTTGTTGTGCACGGCTGGACGGCCTAAAGGGCCTGACGCTAATGTTGTATTCGCCCTCGAAAGACTGGCAAAATGGCTCGCTTAAGCTCTGCTTCAGACGTTTCATATGGGTAGTTCTCTAAATTAGGGTCCCTTTTAGGTCCCCAATATAGTACGGCACCCTTATAAAAAGAACCCTTAAAGGGACCCTAATTTAGAAAACTACCCATATGTTCTTGCCCTTAGGCTTAGGCTTGGAGTCACAGGTTCACCGCGGGACCCGTGGCCCGAACCTAGGCCTGGCTCACTTTGGGCTTCATCCCTCGGAGCTCCCGCTACGTCACATGGCACGCCAGCGGGACGTTACGGTGCCCAGGGCCTGGCAGGAGCACTCCCGTCCGAAGCCGGAGAAGGCCTGGCTTAGGGTTTAAGGGTTAAGGGTTTAGGGTTTATGGGTTTAGGGTTTAGGGTTTAGGGGTTTAGGGTTTAGGGTTTAGGGTTTTATGGGTTTAGGGTTTAGGGTGAAGCCGGTGAAGGCCTGGCTTAGGTACCACGGGGCGAAGCCATGCGAGGGTTTGGAACCCTAGAGAGCGCAATTAAGCCGTAAATTGCTTCAGCCTTGAAAGGTATTCAATATGCCATTAAGCTAAATATTTATGCCATAACATCTATATATATATATATACATACATAAACTAACATAAATATATGATACAAAACAGATGCTGGAAAGTCTGCCTGCTGCTCTCCGAGGTGCATGGAGGTCCACCGTCCAAGTTTGCATCCGACCGTAACCCTGTCACTGCCTTCTTGCGCGAAGCTGGCCTCATCCAGTATGCCAGGGTGGGGAGTTCATGAGCCATTACTTAAAGCTTTTGTATTAGATTCTTTAGATGCGAACTCTTCTGAGCCGCCTTTCGCGCACAAAACGCTCAATTCTTCGAGCATGTTTCGTGTCTGCCCGTCAGGTCTTGAACCATCATGGCTTCGACGACATGGAAACCTTGCTTTGCATGGAGGATGAGCACATGCGGGAGATGGGCATCGCGACCGGCCACATCCTCAAGCTCAAGAGGCCGATCGGTTTCGGACTCATGGTGAGGATCTGCGCACCGCCTACTACACAAGCATCAGGGGTGTAGGGTTGGGGTTGCTGAAAGAGCTTCGCTGGGGGTGGGGGGTGGGGGACGGGGTGGACCACAGCATGTGCGTGTCTGTAGGCATCTACCCAAAATGTTAAACTTTGTTGCCGTATAAAGGCTCCTCTGTCTTTCCTCGAAGATATTATGTTATGTTATGCTATGCTATGCTATATTATATTATATTGCATTGTATTATATTGTATTATATTATATTATATTATATTATATTATATTATATTATATTATATCATATTATATTATATTATATTATATTATATTATATGACATTATGTTGCTTCATGGTATAAGACGATAAAATATATTATACGGCATTATGTTATATGATATGATACTAGATTAAATTAAGATACATTGTATTATATTGTATTTTGTCATGTTAGGTTTTATCATATCATGTGTTACTATATTATGTCTTATTATCACTTATTGGATTATAAAATATACGGTATACTAGATTATAATATATACTAATATTCTTTACAATACATTATATTGCTATATAGAATATTTCGTATTGTTACACATATAAACATTCAGCCCTGACCCTTTTCGTTCAGTTTTTGGAAGGCACCTGCGCGAGCATGCGCTAAAGCGGTTCGGGCAGCGGGAGCCCGCCAGCCAGTCAAGTCAGATCGCCGTACCCCGTTTTGGAGGCAGTTTAGGGTTTCGGGTTTAGGGTTTGGGGTTTAGGGTTTAGGGTTTCGGGTCGGCGTTTGGGGTTTCGGGTTATAGCTTCTGGGGTTTTGGGCTTCTAGGTTCAAGGATTTGAAAGTGCACCTATGCCGCCCTCCGTGCCACTGTTCACACGTGCATTGACGGCGGATCCCAAGGGTATGCGTGTAATTACAAAGATTAAAACCAAACAAGATTCCAATGTAGTCGTCGAAAAGGAGAAAAATTTCTGGTAGGGACCAAGATCAAACAAAGCGTAGGGCTAGTTCTTTCCATAGAAACCTCTGCGACGCGACCTCAGTGACCAACAAATTCAAAACAGAGACCCTTTTCTGTATAAAACTGCTCAAGAAGGTTGTGTATGTTGCAGTGTGAACTGGTGTTTTTCCACAACAGCGACGCAGGCGGCGAGACGCAGGGCCAGGCTTACACTAGCGTGCAATTGAGCTGGATGAAGCTCAAGGACGAGATTGGCTTGAGCACTGTGGGCGGCCTCTTCTACCAGAAGTTCTTCGCCTTGGAACCCGAGGCAAAGGAGCTGTTTCCTTTGAGCATGCGCTTCCGCTACATGGACTGGGACGCGAGCGAAGAGGAGGACCCGGATGATCCGACGCATTCCCCAGCTTTAAAGAACCACGGCAGAAGTCGATCAAGGTGCTCAGCTCTCTGTGGCACCTGAGATGGTACTGTAGGTGTGAGTGCAAGCAAGGGCAGTCAGTCACTTGCAGTGAAGCAGCATCCATCCAATGAAAGCTTTGCTGAGGAACCTATGGGCCAAGTTCATCTCAGTCGTGGGAAGTGCGGTGGCGGGTTTTCAAGACACTTGCCGGCTTGTCCCCATGCTGCAGCAGTTGGGCATCCGGCACGCTGGCTACGGCCTGAAGGAGGGCTACTTCCACCTTGCTGGCAAAATTCTGGTGGATTGCATTGCGGAGGGACTTGGGAAATCTTTCACCAAAGAAGTGGAGAATGCCTGGGTCATGGTTTCCGGCTTCATGGTGGCGACAATGCTGTCAGGTTTCAGCAGTGCGCAAAAGGACATCCAGGATGCGGAAGAACGCCTCCGGTTCAGCTTGCATCCCTCGGACGCTGAGAGTACGGCCCTTGGCGAGACAGAGCTCGAAACGGATTTGGACTCGCGACAGATCACTCCTGAAGACTTGGACGTCTACCGTCAGTAGATGTGGGCCATGCCTACGACATGTGCCCCTTCTTTTTGGCCCCAGGCCGAGGCCTATGTTCCGAGGCCTTAAAAGGGCAGACGTCTCGATCTTCTGTTCCAAAGCTCAATTCGACGGCCCCAACACGTCTACAGGAAGCCTTCTCTCGGAGTAGCTGGAGGAGGCTTCGTACGTCATAGGTCCCTTACCTGCACGCTTGATTCACTTGACTGATTGCTCCAGCTTTTCCGAAAGTCGAGGGCCGAAGAAAGTCAGAAGAAAAGGATCACTGGCATGATTGATGGGGGCGGCTCTGGCGGTTGACAGCGTGCCCAATGTGTTTGCAGCTGTTGGCTCCAGACCAACTCGCATCCCGCGAATGCTCCAAAAAAAGTACTTGTAGGACTTGTAGGATGTCTGGCCGCGGACAAGCGGTGATTTGTCGCAGAGGCCCGGGCAGCACTCAACGAGTTTGATCAGAGGAAGACTGTGGCTTTCCATGCCGGATGTAGGGCCAGTGTAGGGCAACCGTCGCCCCCCGCCCCCCCGCCTCTCTTGATGGCTGTTTGTTGATGGCCACGGTTCTTGCTTGGTCTTATTTCCTTCCCACCACATGGGGGAAGGCCGTGTTGATGGGTCCTGACCTTCGGTGGTTTTGGGCGTGCTATGCCTCTGTGCTCTGGTGTGTAGGCCCAGTGTAGGCACCGGACAGCCTGAAGTGGGTACAGCGGGTACAGCGGTACAAATCCTGCCAGACGGCCTGCTGCCTGTGCCACGGAGTCTAGAGGGTCATGCCTCCGAAAGTTGAGGAACACTGCAGAGAATGAAAGCATCACGGCTGTTCTTGAAGTGCATTGTGCAGGTGTCGCGGTTGCCATAGACGCCTGAATCCAAGTATCCGGACGCCTGTTCACGGTGTTTCCTCTCACAATAGCACGGCACCGTCCCGCAAATTGGCTCAAGTCATGGCATAGCCTCTTCGTAGGATTGGGGACGCGGTGCTCCGAGGCTCCGAATGCAAGAATACAGCTTTCCATAAGTCCAAGTTCTGCTCGAGCTGAGGCAAAGATGAGCGGTCCAAGGCATCGCCAGGCATTGCCGTAAGAAAAACGAGAGGCTGGCCGGGGCAGCAACAGCCTTCCGCATCCCTCAGGCCGTGAATGACCGTCAGATAGAGCTTCTCCGAGAGCACTTGGAACCCGGGCAAGCATGGCTGATATGGTGTGTTATGATTTTGACCATATACTGTGCCATATACTATATATACACAGGAGTATCAACATCGTCAAGCATACTGCTTGCAGCTTTCAACCAAGGACAGAAAGCACCTGAGACTGGAGAAGATGATCCGTGCCAGCACACGACAGGCTGGCAAAGTGATGTGAGAACAGATCCTGCGCGATGCCTCCTAAACCCTATACATGCGAAACCTTCGACCCCCAAACCATGCAACAAAAAAACAGCAAAATCATTGGGGGGGGGGGGTAATTCGTAGAAGACCTAAATCCTGCAAAACCCCTAAACCCTAAACCCCCCAAGCGCAGGCAGCTACAGCCACCGCATCGGCCTTGCAGTCGCTCAGATGATGTTAGCAGACTCATCGGATCACGATAAACTTACGGTTGATGGTTCTTTCGGTTTAGAGTTTAGGGTTTAGGGTTATTTAGTCGGTGTTTCTTGTCTGCAGGAGCAACATGGGGTTTCGATGGCTGGAGTTGAAGGGTTTCAGGCTGTAGCAGTTTAGGAATGTCGGCTTTGTCAGGGGTGTCGAAGCCCATAGGCGCCCTAAACCCTAAACCCTCAACCCTAAACCCTAAGCCCTAAACCCTAAACCCTAAACCCTAAACCCTAAACCCTAAGCCCTAAACCCTAAACCCTATAAACCCTAAGCCCTCAGCCCTCAGCCCTCAGCCCTAGCCACGGAGGCAGCAGCTGCAAGTCATGCAGAAGAACCTTCTGGTCGGCTTTCAGAGCAATGGACTCCAGGAGGGTTTAGGGCTTTAGGGTTTAGGGTTTTAGGGTTTAGGGTTTAGGGTTTAGGGTTTAGGGTTTAGGGTTTGGGGTTTATAGGGTTTAGGGTTTAGGGTTTAGGGTCCAGGGCTATGCGTTTCCAACTTCGTTCCTTCGGAGCCTCTGTTTGAAAGCTTAAGGCATGGAGGCGCTGAGCCTTGAAGTAAGCCAACCCCAACTGAAGCCTTCAGCCCTAGACCCTCCTTCGGAGCTCAAAAAAAGCCTCGATGCTGTCAGGATGGGTCGTTCAACCCACTGCCGGGAGCCATGCCGGACATGCCGAGCCCGAAACTGACAAAGTTGGGCTCGCCGCTCACCTGCAGAGGGCCAAGTAATACTGCACGAGGTTGCACAGCTTTGCTGAGTTGCCGTTTGTTGTGGAGTTGCATGTAGCAAAGGGTGGGAAGCATCGACCGCTTCACTACAGATCCGTTCAGAGACCTGGTTGCATTTTCGAGTCAGGCAGCTTCTAAACCCTAAACCCTAAACAGGAAGAGAGAGCCCCTTTGCAATTAGAAAGCAAAGTTGGCTTCGGTTTCTTTCATCGGACTGAGGCGACTTTGAAGAAGACCCTTTGAGTGATGACGACGAAGATGCAGCACGGCTCCGATTTGAGAGGTCCGAAGGCATCAAGAAGTCGAGATCCAACTCGGAGACCAAGGAGACTACTGGGCTTCTAATGACGGTTTAAACCCTAAACCCTAAACCCTAAACCCCTAAACCCTAAACCCTAAACCCTAAACCCTAAACCCTAAACCCCTAAACCCTAAAAGCTTGGAGGGTGTGGACGCTTCAGGGCCCAGCCAAAAGGGGCTCTCCCGTCTCACAGGACGTGAAGACAGCCTGGGAGGAGGAGGCTCAGGCCTGGCACAGAGTGGAGCATCAGACGTAGCATGTCGCAGCTGAAACGCCAGGAAGAGGAGGAAAAAGCTCCCGAGGCCATCGACGCACGTCCGCACTGTATCTGGTCGTCTTTCAAGGCCCTTCAGAGGCCCTCCTCCGCCAAAGAAGGCCCTCCTTTATAGGGCCCAAACAGAGAGGGGCCCAGAGCCCGAACATGGCCTATCCTAAACCCGGAGCCCCAAGCCCCGCAACCCCAAACCGGAGAACCTGAAACCGTGAATCCTCCAGCTTCAAAACATGGACACTTAAAGTCAGAAGCCCTACAGCCCTGTGAGAAGAGCTCAGGAGGATGATGAGAGATTCCGAGATGCATCGCAGTTGCAAGCAGTGACCCCCCCCCCTCCCATCCCCGCCACCCCAAAGTGATGGTGGAGCTCCTATCTCTCCATGCTTAACCGCAACCTCTCTGAAGACACCCATTAAAATACACTTGAGGCCAGCCAGGCCAGATTTATACCCCTGAGGCCTAGCCCAAATTCACCAATCCTTTTCCTTGCCCACCGACTCAGGGCGACAAGGAGTTCCTCCAAAAGAAATCTCAAATGGTCGTGAGGCCCGAAAATTCTAGCAATCCTGCCTTGTCTGTCTTGTGATAAGGTTCGCGGTTTACGATCTCGGGCTTGGGCGTTCGGGTTGAAGCTTGCGGGATTTCTCGTAAGGCGCGATTACATGTTCCAATCGGCGGGCCTCTTGTTGAACTTTGCAAGGCGCAACCAGCTGGATGAGAACATGCCTCCACTACGAAAGCTGGCCAGGCACCGTAAAGATGCACAGCAAAAGACAGAGCCGCACACTACCACACTAAGAGGATTTAGATGCTTTTTGGTCGAGACAGTGTTGGTAAGCTGGCTGATATCCAACCCCAATCCTTCCGAAACCAGCATTGAGCCAGCATCTCTTCTTCGAAACCCTTAAACCCTAATCCCATCCACACCCTATAACCTTAAAGACCTAAAATAAACCCTTCAAGCTTCTTCTGATGTGCAGGAAGCACTCCTAGGATCTCGGCTTCCAGCAGTAGTGGAATCCCTGCAGGACAAGGGTCGGAAACTTGGTCCTACCATCCCCTGGCAGTGTTTGTGTCGTCATACCCAAAAGCCCTCTTCTGACACCAACCATCTACAGGATAGAGCCCACTTAACGACAGATCTCCTCTCGGAGCTTCAAAAGGAGCCCTTGAGAGGAACCCTGCACCCTTCAAGGGAAACCGAGTTATAGAACTTTATAGAACCCCATGGTGCCCTGAAAGGGGGACCCCTTTCTAACTCAAAGAGCTCTAAGAGTCGGCTCGTTGTGTCCCACTCGCCAGGAAGGTGGTCTTTGACCACCGGTTCGAGCCCTTCCCTCAGTGGTTATGGCACGTAGGGCTTTAGGGGCTTCTCGGTTTTTGGGTTTGTGGTTTTCGGGGTTAGTACGCGTTAGGGGCGAGGGTTTCGGCGTTATATAGCGTTTAGGGTGTCGTCGCAGTGGGTTTGGTTTGTGTGAACTGCGGTTTTGCATACTCTGTGACGCAGTGTCGCTCACGTTTAGGTATTCTGAAAATCGTTCGGTCATTTGTGTTCATTGCTTGCCATGCTTAAGCATTGGCAACCAGATTCTGTGTTGCCTTCAGATACACGCAAGGGACCGCGGCCAACTGTATCGTTTCGATTGGACATTTGTCTCTCTCATATTATGTTCTTTGTCTCTTGTTTTCCGTGTACCTGGATCCGGATGTTGTGTATTACTGTTCGATACTGGTGGAAGTTCCAGTTACTTTGAGCACACTCCCCCAGAGAAATTCAAACCCTACTGCGTCCACTAAGCCACGTGGATTCAGAGCTGACGTGGGGTCCGGCAATACATTGCAGCACTTTCCGCAGTCTCTGCAAACGGAGCTTAACTGAAAGAGCGAACACTGAAGTCACTGGCCGGGAAGAAATCCTCAATCCATAAATTGCCCGCAACCGTACTCCTAGGTGGCTCGTCTCCTTCATCGTGGTCTTCAATTCACTCCTTGTTGGTATCGAAGCGCAATGGGGTCTGGAAAATCTCAACAAGGCCTGAGCACTTCCAGATCGGGGGACCATGAAAACAGGCCCAAGGATGGACTCTTACTCGTGAGTTCC